GGGCACTGTTCCCCCACTAATACCAATGATGGGGCACTATTCCTCCCCCTGGCATACCAATGATGGGGCACTATTCCTCCCACTGACACCAATGATGGGGCACTATTCCTCCCACTGACGCCAATGATGGGCACTATTCCTCCCACTGACACCAATGACGGGGCACTATTCCTCCCCCACTGACACCAATGACGGGGCACTACTTTTCCTCCCACTGTCACCAATGACGGGCACTATTCCTCCCACTGTCACCAACGACGGGCACTATTCCTCCCACTGTCACCAACGACGGGCACTATTCCTCCCACTGTCACCAACGACGGGGCACTATTCCTCCCACTGTCACCAACGACGGGCACTATTCCTCCCACTGTCACAACGACGGGGCACTATTCCTCCCACTGTCACCAATGACGGGGCACTATTCCTCCCACTGTCACCAACGACGGGCACTATTCCTCCCACTGTCACCAACGACGGGCACTATTCCTCCCACTGTCACCAATGACGGGGCACTATTCCTCCCACTGTCACCAATGACGATATTCCTCCCACTGTCGCCAATGACGGGGCACTATTCCTCCCACTGTCGCCAATGACGGGGCACTATTCCTCCCACTGTCGCCAATGACGGGGCACTATTCCTCCCACTGTCGCCAATGACGGGGCACTATTCCTCCCACTGTCGCCAATGACGGGGCACTATTCCTCCCACTGACGCCAATGACGTGGGCACTAATCCTCCCACTGTCGCCAATGACGGGCACTATTCCTCCCACTGTCGCCAATGACGGGCACTATTCCTCCCACTGTCGCCAATGACGGGCACTATTCCTCCCACTGTCACCAATGACGGGGACTATTCCTCCCACTGTCACCAATGACGGGGCACTATTCCCCACTGTCACCAATGACGGGCACTATTCCTCCCACTGACACCAATGATGGGGCATTATTCCTCCCACTGACACCAATGACGGGGCTGTTCCTCCCACTGACACAATGATGGGCACTGTTCCTCCCACTGACACCAATGATGGGGCACTGTTCCTCCCACTGACACCAATGATGGGGCACTGTTCCTCCCACTGACACCAATGATGGGGCACTGTTCCTCCCACTGACACCAATGATGGGGCACTGTTCCTCCCACTGACACCAATGATGGGGCACTGTTCTTCCCACTGACACCAATGATGGGGCACTGTTCCTCCCACTGACACCAATGATGGGGCACTGTTCCTCCCACTGACACCAATGATGGGGCACTGTTCCTCCCACTGACACCAATGATGGGGCACTGTTCCTCCACTGACACCAATGATGGGGCACTGTTCCTCCCACTGACACCAATGATGGGGCACTGTTTTCCTCCCACTGACACCAATGATGGGGCACTGTTCCTCCCACTGACACCAATGATGGGGCACTGTTCCTCCCACTGACACCAATGATGGGGCACTGTTCCTCCCACTGACACCAATGATGGGGCACTGTTCCTCCCACTGACACCAATGATGGGGCACTGTTCATCCCCTGACACCAATGATGGGGCACTATTCCTCCCCCTGACACCAATGATGGGGCACTAATCCCCCTAGTAATACCATGATGATAAGGCACTATTCCTCCCACTGACACCAATGATAGGGCACTGTACGTCCCACTGATACCAATGATGGGACACTATTCCTCCCACTAATACCAATGATGAGACACTATTACTCCCACTGACACCAATGACGGGGCACGATTCCTCCCACTGACACCAAAGATGGGGCACTATTTCCCTCACTGATACTAATGATGGGGCACTATTTTCCCCACTGATACTAATGATGGGGCACTATTTCCCCCACTGATACTAATGATGGGGCACTATTCCTCCCACTGATACCAATGATGGGGCACTATTCCTCCCACTGTCACCAATGATGGGGCACTATTCCTCCCACTGACACCAATGACGGTGTACTATTCCTCCCACTGACACCAGTGATGAGAGCACTATTCCTTCCACTAATACCATTGATGGGGCACTATTCCTCCCACTACCCAATGACGGGGCACTGTTCCTCCCACTGACACCAATGATGGGGCACTGTTCCTCCCACTGACACCAATGATGGGGCACTGTTCCTCCCACTGACACCAATGATGGGGCACTGTTCCTCCCACTAATACCAATGATGGGGCACTATTCCTCCCCCTGACACCAATGATGGGGCACTAATCCCCCTAGTAATACCAATGATGGGTCACTATTCCTCCCAGTAATACCAATGATGGGGCACTATTCCTCCCTCTGACACCAATGATGGGGCACTGTTCCTCCCTCTAATACCAATGATGGGGCACTATTTTTCCAACTAATACCAATGATGGGACACTATTCCTCCCACTGACACCAATGACGGGGCACGATTCCTCCCACTGACACCAAAGATGGAGCACTATTTCCCCCACTGATACTAATGATGGGGCACTATTCCTCCCACTGATACCAATGATGGGGCACTATTCCTCCCACTGATACCAATGATGGGGCACTATTCCTCCCACTGACACCAATGATGGGGCCCTATTCCTGCCACTAATACCAATGATGGGGCACGATTCCTCCTACTGACACCAATGATGGGGCACGATTCCTCCCACTAATACCAATGATGGGGCTTTATTCCTCCTAGTAATACCAATAATGGAACACTATTCCTCCCACTGATACCAATAATGGAACACTATTCCTCCCACTGATACCAATGATGGGGCACTATTCCTCCCACTGATACCAATGATGGGGCACTATTCCTCCCACTGATACCAATGATGGGGCACTATTCCTCCCACTAATACCAACGATGGGGCACTATTCCTCCCACTAATACCAACGATGGGGCACTATTCCTCCTAGTAATACCAATGATGGGGCACTATTCCTCCCACTAATACCAATTATGGGGCACTATTCCTCCCACTGATACCAATGATGGGGCACTATTCCTCCCACTGATACCATGATGAGAGCACTATTCCTCACACTGATACCAATGATGGGGCACTATTCCTCCTAGTAATACCAATGATGGAGCACTATTCCTCCCACTGATACCAATGATGGGGCACTATTCTTCTCCACTGATACCAATGATGAGGGCTATATTCTTCCCACTGATACCAATGATGGGTCACTATTCCTCCACTTTTGATGGAGCACTATTCCCCACTGATACCAATGATGGGGCACTATGTTCCTCCCACTGACACCAAAGATGAGGGCACTATTCCTCCCACTGACACCAGTAATGAGAGCACTATTCCTCCCACTAATACCAGTGATCTAGCTCTATTACTCCCACTGATACCAATGATGAGGGCACTATTCCTCCCACTGACACCAATGATGGGGTATTATTCCTCCCAATGATGGGGAAATTATTCCTCCCACTGATTCCAATGATGGGGCATTATTCCTCCCACTGACACCAATGATGGGACACTAGTCCTCCCACTGATACCAATGATGGGGCACTATTCCTACCACTGATACCAATGATGGGGCACTATTCCTACCACTGATACCAATGATGGGTCACTATTCCTCCCACTGATACCAATGATGGGGCACTATTCCTCCCACTGACACCAATGATGGGGCACTGTTCCTCCCACTGACTCCAATGAAGGGGTACTATTCCTCCCAAGACACTAAATGATGGGCACTATTCCTCCATTGACACCAATGATTGGGCACTATTCCTCCCCCTGACAGCAATGATAGGGCACTATTCCTCCCACTGACACCAATGATGGGGCACTATTCCTCCCACTGACACCAATGATGGGGCACCATTCCTTCCATCTGTCACCAATGATTGGGCACTATTCCTCCCACTTATACCAATGTTGAGGGCACTATTCCTCCCAGTAATCCCAATGATGGGGCACTATTCCTCCCACTGATATCAATGATGGGCACTATTCCTACCACTGATACCAATGATGGGACATTATTCCTCCCACTGATCACAATGATGGGGAACTATTCCTCCCACTAATACCAATGATGGGTCACTATTCCTCCCACTGACACCAGTGATGGGGCACTATTCCTCCCACACTGACACCAATGATGGGACACTATTCCTCCCACTGACACCGATGAAGGGGTACTATTCCTCCCAAGACACTAAAGATGAGGGCACTATTCCTCCCATTGACACCAGTGATGGGGCACTATTCCTCCCACTGTCACCAATGTTTGGGCACTATTCCTCCCACATACCAATCTTGAGGCAGTATTTCTCCCACTAATCACAATGATGGGGCACTATTCCTCCCACTAATACCAGTGATGGGGCACTATTTCTCCTACTAATACCAATGATGGAGCACTATTCCTCCCACTGACACCAATGACGGGTCACTATTCCTCGCACTGTCACCAATGACGGGTCACTATTCCTCCCACTGACACCAATGACGGGTCACTATTCCTCCCACTGACACCAATGACGGGTCACTATTCCTCCCACTGACACCAATGACGGGTCACTATTCCTCCCACTGACACCAATGACGGGTCACTATTCCTCCTACTGCTACCAATGACGCGGCACTATTCCTCCCACTGACACCAATGACAGGGCAGTATTCCTCCCACTGACACCAATGACGGGGCACTATTCTTCCCACTGACGCCAATGACGGGGCACTATTCTCCCACTGACTCCAATGAAGGGGTACTATTCCTCCCCAAGACACTAAAGATGAGGGCACTATTCCTCCCATTGACACAATGATTGGGCACTATTCCTCCCCCTGACAGCAATGATAGGGCACTATTCCTCCCACTGACACCAATGATGGGGCACTATTCCTCCCACTGACACCAATGATGGGGCACCATTCCTCCACTGTCACCAATGATTGGGCACTATTCCTCCCACTTATACCAATGTTGAGGCACTATTCCTCCCACTAATCCCAATGATGGGGCACTATTCCTACCACTGATACCAATGATGGGGCACACTATTCCTCCCACTGATCACAATGATGGGGAACTATTCCTCCCACTGACACCAATGATGGGTCACTATTCCTCCCACACTGACACCAATGATGGGGGCACTATTCCTCCCATTCACCAATGAGGGGGCACACTATTCCTCCCACTGACACCGATGAAGGGGTACTATTCCTCCCAAGACACTAAAGATGATGAGGGCACTATTCCTCCCATTGACACCAGTGATGGGGCACTATTCCTCCCACTGTCACCAATGTTTGGGCACTATTCCTCCCACATGACACAATCTTGATGAGGGCAGTATTTCCTCCACTAATCACAATGATGGGGCACTATTCCTCCCACTAATACCAGTGATGGGGCACTATTCCTCCTACTCCTACCAGTGATGGAGCACTATTCCTCCCTGTCGCTGACGGTCACTATTCCTCGCACTGTCACCAATGACGGGTCACTATTCCTACCACTGTCACCAATGACGGTCACTATTCCTCCCACTGCCCTACCATGACGCGGCACTATTCCTCCCACTGACACCAATGACAGGGGCCAGTATTCCTCCACTGACGCCAATGACGGGGCACTATTGTCTTCCTCCCACTGACGCCAATGACGGGGCACTATTCCTCCACTGTCGCCCAATGACGGGGCACTGTCGCCAATGACGGGGCACTGTTCCTCCCACTGTCGCCAATGACGGGGCACTGTCCTCCCACTGTCGCCAATGACGGGGCACTGTTCCTCCCACTGTCGCCAATGACGGGGCACTGTTCCTCCCACTGTCGCCAAGTGACGGGGCACTGTTCCTCCCACTGTCGCCAATGACGGGGCACTGTTCCTCCCACTGTCGCCAATGACGGGGCACTGTTTCCTCCCACTGTCGCCCAATGACGGGGCACTATTCCTCCCACTGTCGCCAATGACGGGGGCAAGGGATGGGGCAAAATTCCTCCCACTGACCCCCAAAACGGGGGAAAACTTTTTACTAATTTACCAATGAGGGGGGCACTATTTCCCCCATGATACAAGTTGGGGCATTTTTTTCCCCCCATGATACTAATGAGGGGGCACTATTCCTCCCACTGATACCAATGAAGGGCCCCCCAAAATTTTATTCCTCCCACGTCACCAATGAGGGGGCACTATTCCCCCCACTGTCCCCAAGGGATGGGGAAACTATTTTCCTCCCACTGACACCAAGGGAGGGTTTGTACTTTTCCCCTCACGGGACACCATAAATGAGAGAATTTTCCCTTTCCCACTAATCCCAAATTGTTTGGGGAAACTATTCCCCATTTAATTTCCCAAATGAGGGGGCCTTTTTCCCCCCATGACACCAAGGATGGGGCCCCGTTTTTTCCCCCCACTGACACCAATGAGGGGGGAAACTGTTTTCCCCACTAAAAACCAAGATGGGCACTTTTTCCCCCCCCGGGGGAACCCCCAATGATGGGGCACTAATCCCCCTAGTAATACCAATGATGGGTCACAAATTCCCTCCCAGTAATCCCAAATTGATGGGCACTTTTTCCTCCCACTGACCCCCAATGGGGGGGAAACTTTTCCCTCCCTCAAATACCAATGATGGGGCATTTTTTTCCCACTAATCCCAAAAGGATGGGACACTTTTCCCCCCCACTAAACCCCCAAATGCGGGGAAACGATTCCCCCCCCAGGGACACCAATGGGGGGCACGTTCCTCCCACTGACACCAATGATGGGGCCTTTTCCCCTTCCCACCTAACCCAATGTTTGGGGCACTTTTCCCTTTCCCCCTTTACCCAATGAGGGGGCCTAACCCCCTAGTAATACCAATGTTTGGGTCATTTCCTCCCGTAATACCAATGAGGGGGGCACAAAACCCTCCCCGGGACACCAATGATGGGGGGAAAACTTTTCCCTTTCCCTCTAATCCCAATGAGGGGGAAATTTTTTTTTCCCCCATTTTTTTACCAATGATGGGACACTACCCCCCCAATAAAACCAAATGAGGGGGCCACTTTTCCTCCCACTGACCCCAAAGGGGGGACTTTTTCCCCCATGATACAAAGAGGGGGCACTATTCCTCCCATTTGATCCCAAATTTGGAGGGGGGGAAACTATTCCCCCCAAATGACACCAATGATGGGGAAATTTATTCCCCCCACGGGACACCAAATGAGGGGGGCCCTATTCCTGCCACTAATACCAAAGGGGGGGGGGAAAACGATTCCCCCTACTGACCCCAAAGGGATGGGGCACGTTTCCCCCTCCCACTAATACCAAGATGGGTAAATATTCCTCCTAATAATACCAATAATGGAACACTTTTTTCCTCCCCTGTTCCCCAAGATGGGGCCTATCCTCCCACAAATTCCAATTTGAGGGGGCCTATTCCCCCTTTAGTAATACCAATGATGGGACACTTTTCCCTCCTAAAATTACCAAAAGGATGGGTCACTATTCCTCCCCCCAAAACCCAAATGATGGGACACTTTTTCCTCCAACTGACCCCAAGTGATGGAGCACTATTCCCTCACAATATCCCAAATGAGGGGGGCACTTTTCCTTTCCTAGAAAATACTAATGATGGACCCATTTTTCCCTCCCACGGGTTAACCAATGTTGGGGGCCCACTTTTCCCTTCCCATTGATATTTAATGATGAGAGCCCCCATTTCTCTAAACGGGATACCAATGATGGGTCACTATTGTCCCCAAAAAAACGTTTAGGGGGAAACTACCCCTCCCACTGAAAACCAATGGGGGGCACTTTTCCTCCCACTGAAAACCAAAGATGAGGGAAACTATTCCCCCCCCAACTGACACCTTGGGTAATTTAAAGAAAACCCCAATATTCCTCCCCCACTAAAAAAAAACCCCCAAGGGGTTTTCCTAGTCCATTACCTTCCCCCACTGAAAAAAAACAATTTGTTTGAGGGGCAACCAAATTTCCTTCCCACCTGCCCAAGGATGGGGTTTTAAAATTTTTTTTTAATTCCCCCAATTTTTTTTGTTTGGGGATTTTTTTTCCTTTTTTTTTTTTCCCCACCCTTAAAAAAACATTTTTTTTTTTTTTGGGCACTTTTTTCCTTTTTTTTCCCCAAATTTTTTTTTTGAAAAAAAAAAACCAATTTTTTTAAAAACAAAATTTTTTCCTCCAAAGATTTTTTAAAAATTTTTTTGAATTGGGGCCCCAAAAACTTATTTTTTTTTTTTTTTTTTTTTTTTTTTTTTTTTTTCCAAAACTTTTTTTTTTTTCCATTTTTTTTTTTGGGAAGGAAAAACCTTTTTTTTTTTTTTCCCTTTTTTTTTTCCAAAAAAAAAAAAAACTTTTTTTTTTCCAATTTTTTTTTTTTTTTTTTTTGGGGGTTTTTTTTTTTTTTTTTTTTTTTTTTTCCCCCCCACACGGGCCCAAATGAGGGGCCCTCTATTCCTCCCCTGACCCCCAATAAAGGGGTATTTTCCCCAAGCCACAAAAGATGGGGCACTATTTCCCCCCATTGAAAACCAAATGTTTGGGCACTTTTCCTCCCCCTAAACAGAAAAATGTTAGGGCACAATTCCTTTCCATTCTCCAATGAGGGGGCCAAATTCCTTCCACTGTCCCCAAATGAGGGGGGAAACTTTCCTCCCTCTTATACCAATGTGAGGCACTTTTCCCTTCCATTTGATCCAATAAAGGGAAAAAACTATTCCTCCCCAAATCCCCCAATGTTGAACCCCTTTTTCCTCCCACTGATCACAATCAGGGGGAAACCCTTTTCCCCCCACTTTTCCCAAATGATGGGTCCATTCCTCCCACTAAACAACCAATGAGGGGGGCCACTTTTTTCCTCCCACCCCTGACCCCAATGATGGGACACTATTCCCCCCATGACACCGATAAAGGGGGTTCTTTTCCTCCAAAGGGACACAAAAAGGAGGGAGGGCATTTTCTCCCATTGAAAACCAAAGATAGGGAAACAAATTCACCCCCCTGACACCAAAAGTTGGGGCACAAATTCCTCCCACGGACCCCCTTTGTTTTGGGGCACTTTTTTCCTCCCCCTGTCCCCAAATTTTTTTGGGCACTTTTTCCCCCCCCACATCCCAATCTTAGGCAGTATTTCCCCCACAAAACCCCAAAAGGGGGGATGGGGACTTTTCCCTCCCCCTAATTTTACCAGTGTTTGGGGCACTATTCCTCCCACGGGCCCCCCTTTGACGGGTCACTTTTTTCCCCCCCCCTGAAAACCTTTAAAGGGGGTCCCCTATTCCTCGCACTGTCCCCCAATGACGGGTCCATTCCTCCCCCCCTGATCCAATGACGGGTCACTATTTTCCCTCCCATGAAAACCCAAATGACGCTTTACTTTTTCCTCCCACGACCCCAAAGGGGGTTCCCCTATTCCTCCCACTGCTCCCAAAAGAGGGGTCACATTCCTCCCATTTGACGCCAATGAGGGGGGCACTATTCCCCCACTCCCCGCCAAATTTTGCCCGGGGGAACCCTATTCCTCCCACTGACCCAATGACGGGGCACTTTTCCCCCCAAACCTGACAACCAATGGAAGGGCCTTATCCCCCCACTGAGGGGGCCAATGCGGGGCACTATTCCTCCCACTGTAACCAAGAGGGGAAATTTTTTCCCTCCCACTTTCACCAAGGACGGGCACTTTTTCCCCCCAAATTTGTCCCAAGGGACGGGCATTTAATTCCTCCCCCTGTCCCCAATAAAGGGCACTTTTCCCTCCCACTTTTAAACCAAGGGAGGGGCATATTTCCTCCCACTGTAAACCTTTGAGGGGCCCAACTATTCCCCCCACCTCACCAATGCGGGCATATTCCTCCCCTGTCCCCAAATTTGAGGGGCCCACTATTCCCCCACGGGTCAAAAAAAGGGAAACGGGCACTTTCCTCCCACTGTAAACCCAAATTTTTGGGGCATTATTTCCCCCCCCCCCCCCCC